TGTGAGGTTGGAAGGACAACACTGAATTCCTAAAGTTAGTAACTTTTTCCCCACAGATACCTAGGAACTAACAATTATAAAAACTTGCAGTTTGAAACAATTAGGCAGAAAAGAAAATTCACGTTGCCATGCAAAAAATATAATTATATAATAAATTTGTTGTCTAGTAACAAATTGTTCTCGGTTGTGATTATAAACTCTCGAATATGGCATTATTCTTTTCTTAATTTACTAAACAAACTAATTATTCAAAAAACACGAAAATTATCTTAAAAACAAGGTAATATTGGTCGTGTTATTGCCAATGTGTCACTTGAGATGATTGTTCAGAGCACAACGTCGCCAAATTTCTGGTTTTATCGAAGACGTTCCGAAAATGTGATTATTAAATTATATCATTTTTTTAAGGGTCCCAATTAATAAAAAAATAGCTAAATAATAACTTAGAAAAGTGACCGATCCAATAATCCTCAATGTATTAAAAACTGGAGAACATTAATCAGTCGCTCGTAATGAATAAAAAATAATAAAAAACAAACAAAAAGAAAGAAAAGTGATCAATTCATCTTTATTGAGCATTGATCCTTTTTAATTTAATTAAAAAACACATGTAAAAGAATAACTAACAACAAAAACCAATTCGGCTTTACTGTTGTCCTCAATGTATATAATACTGGAAACGATTGATTAGGAAATAAACCGGAGGCAACGAACTAATAAACAAACGACTAATAAATATAATTTTCACTTGAATTAAATAGGAAATTTAAGAAATACAACCAGAAATTTGGGGACGTTTTTCTCTAAACCATCATCTCTTTCAATGATATATTGCCAATGACACAACGTATCGTACATTGTTTTCAAAAATTTTTTCAATGTGGTTTTTAATTAATTGTTTTTTATTTAAATCAATTTTCATACAAAGTTTTGCCTTCTGATAATAACAATAATAAAGTTGTTCATTGAAAAAAATTAGAGCTATATAATATATAGTTTTGTTTCAGTCGAATGTCTCCACCCAGTACCCCCATTTATTTATAAAAACGCCGTATAAATGAACTTTTGAAAAATCGTACAATGGCCTTATTTTTAAAGCGTGTTAAAATAAAAATGTAAATTATGAGAAAACACCCTTTTGACTGTATCAACACGACGTATGGTTGGTGACATATTTTTGGGTAGGTTTAAATTCTTATTAAAATTCGGAATTATGCGGGGCCGCCCCTTCGCCGCTAAAAGTGACGCGTACTAATTTTCCAAAATATCAGATGACACGTATTCGGAGTTCGCTTTGTCGCAGTCCCGAAAAGGCGTTCGACTAGACTGCGACGGGGTGGCGGGATATTAATAACGAATTTCGTGGATCGTTCATCATCCTACGGTTTGCTTTTCATACGCTAAGGAAAATTAACGAGCGAAAGTTTGCCCGGAACCCGAAAAAAGCACATTTCTTTTTAGAGTGAGTTCCTTTCCGCCTCGAGCAAATGGTTAAACTTCAAAACGAATAGACACGATTTTGCCATTATCCCATGAGAAGTACTAATACAGAGTAGTCTTAGTCTTTAATTATTGAAATTTACTGGTTTTATAAAATAGGACAAAATTACTAAAATGACAAAGAAATGTTTACTAAAATATAAAACAGTTTTAAGAAATAATATTATTGGTGGTTGTCAATTTGAAGACTTTTCGGAGTTTTCACGAAATGGCCTCCAGGACTCCTAAGAAGTCCATTGCACAGCAGATGGTGTCCTGAAGAGCGAGTTGATTAAGGTATTGGGAGTGTACTTTGTGTACTAGAAACTTCCACAGGCTACTGTAATACTTTTTACAAAACTTCTGGATTCCTCCAGCGTCGGTTTTTGCTGAGTCGAAATTGCTGACGTTTCGCCAATCATCCTGTTGGCTTCTTCAGAGCTTGACTGAAACTGGCTCGTATTTTACTCTGTACCTGCTTATATGAGGGGCATAAACACCGTCTCGGATGACTGATTCCCATATTGGTGACAGGTCAGACAGACCTGAGTCGCGGTTAAGATTGTTAGGTTGTTTATAGATTTCTATAGACTCTCGAATTTTTCGTTGGTAGAAGAACTGATTGCATGCAAGAATTTTAGTTAAAACCAAAATTACGGAAACGCTATGTCGATGATACTTTTGTTTTTTGGCCTCACGGTCCCCAAGCCCTAGTAGATTTTCTTAGACATTTAAACCATACACCCAACATACGTTTTACCATTGAGTTGGAAACTAATAATAACCTTCCATTCTTAGATATTCTTATGAATAGAAGATCAGACCTAACATTGGTCATTGTGTTTACAGGAAACCTAAGTACACAGACCGATACCTTAATGCATGGTCACATCACCATCCGGCCCAAAAATCATCGGTTATCATCTCTCTTGTTTACAGAGCCGTAAAACTATCTCAGCCCGAGTCACTGAACCCAGAATTAAAACACCTTACCTCTGCTCTTCTCTCTAATAATTTCCACATTAAAGATATTAAGCGTTCCATCAAAAAATACACTTCTCCACAACCTTTCAATAACAATGAGGCCGAAAGCAATCCTACACTTGCCACTGTAGTCCTTCCTTACATTCAAAACATCACTGACCACATATCAAAAGTTCTAATGAACTATAACATCAAAACCAGATTTACCACCGGTCCAAAAATTTCGTCTTCAGTCTGTCAAAGACAAAATTCCATTTGAGATGCTAGGAGTTTACAGCATTCCATGCATATGCGGCAAAGAATACATTGGAGAGACAAAGAACACGCAAGAGCCTTACGACTAAGACAAAGAAACTCATCAGCTGTTGCCGAACACACTCATGAAACCGGACACAAAATTTTATTGTTGCATGCAATCAGTTCTTCTACCAACGAAAAATCCGAGAGTCTATAGAAATCTATAAACAACCTAACAATCTTAACCGCGACTCAGGTCTCTACTTGTCACCAATATGGAAATCAGTCATCCGAGACGATGTTTATGCCCCCTCATTTAGCTCCGCCCACTTCAAACAATATATAAGCAGGTACAGAGTAAAATACCAGCCAGCCAGTTTCAGTCAAGCACTGAAGAAGTCAACAGGATGATTGGCGAAACGTCAGCAATTTCGACTCAGCAAAAACCGACTCAGGAAGAATCCAGAAGTTTTGTAAAAAGTATTGGCAGTGTCTTTCGTAGGACCAAAAGTGATCTGTTAAGCTTGATCGTAGGCCAAAATGAACGCTGGCAGAAGCCTAATAGGATACTGCCATTTAAGAAGGTATAAGTGGTGTTCTAAACTTACTACGAACGAGCAGCTGTATAGATCTAAAGGTATATGAATAAGAAGAGCCTGGCGCATGGCTCTCAGGCCACCTCCTAACCTCCTATGTGCTATTAGAGGATAGACGGTTAAGACCACCAGAGTACTAGATTGTTCTAAAATAACTATAAAAGAGTAGATTCTCGACGGTACATGACTCAGTTAGTGGATCTAAAGGTTCGCTCCGTAAGAATGAATATGGATGGCAATATTTTGTCAACATTACTTTCAACTAAATCGTGATTTTAACTCATTATTTTATTACGTGATTAGTCTTCCTATTGTTCTATTCGATAAGACAAATTGCGATACGCCACTGCTAGAAAACACGGTAGTCGTTTACAGTGTTGCCATTCATTTCATCCAATACATTTTCGGGGTTCTGCGAGTTAAACTAATACGCGCGAGCGCGGAGTTGCGGGCTCGCGTCAGACAAATATTTTCGATTCCCTGTTTTAAAAATAAATCTGATAAAAGATAGCGAACAATGTCCAATCAATCAAAGCGGGATTAACGGACTCGTCAATCGATTTACATTGAAAAAAATAGGTTAGATTTCCACAACTGATTGGCCGGTTGGCGCATCGGAACGGTATCATCCAAACAAAATGTGTGTGTGCGTGGTGATATCGCATCGAAACCACTTGTGAAATCTAGTATCGAATTTGACAGACCAGGATTAATGGTATTTAATAAACGGCAGATAACGATCAGCTAATATTGAAAATGCGTCGGAAATTATATGCAACATTTTGGTTTCGGTGGTATTTTCGGTATTCGGTAACGGAGGGGTTTTTTTTTTCGTCAATTCGCTAATTAAGAGGCACGACATTGCTGAATTTTTGGCTATTTCGAAATTTACTTACACGCTATTATGACCCAATTTCCTCTCGTGTGCTATTATGACCTGCGACTGATCATGTGCTATTATGATGCGCTTTAGACCTGCAATTGATTTCGACTTGCCCTATTATCATATGATAATATGATCTGCAAGTAATTATGTGCCATTTTGTCCTATGTTGCTGTTGTGACCTATTATGACCTGCGATTGATCATGCAACTACTCTGACCTGTGCTATTAAGGGCCGTTTTATTACCTGCAGCTGTCGTTTGCTATTATGCACCTGCAATTGATCATGCGGCTACACTCTAGTTTGCTATTATTACCTGCAGCTGATCATGTGTTATTCTGAGCTGTGCCACTTTAGTGTGCTATTATGACCTGCGATTGAGTCATGTTTTATTCTACCTATGCCTAGCATAACCTGAATTAATTAGAAGTTATTATGCTCCTATCGAGGGTCCTTTAAGGTATTGATTTTTATTATACTTTATAGAATATCGTGGTTGATGCTAGACTGTTGCAAAGGATGTAATTCCAAAATTAATGATATAATAAAATAAGCATTGTTTCTTTTTTAATTGCCGCATCTCTTTTCACTGGCGAGTAGATCCATGTATTGTACGTTGCTTATGCCGTCAGCAATGTCAGAATTGTATAATGGAAGGTGTTGTGAATACTCTATGCGGAATAATGTCGATTTTGCACGTTTGTTGATGACACATTTTGCCATTGAAAGTTTAACACCGATAGCCACTTTCCGTTGAAATTTCGTGTAACATCCGGTATCGTTCCCATAAATTTTCGTGGTGGTAAATAAAACACGTAAGTCAAGTTTAAACAATAAAATATGTTTAATCGTATACATTTTTGAAGCATACATACATACATGTTACAGTAGACTATAATCTAGATACTTTACACGCAGTTGAATACAAAACGAAAAAATCATTATCGGGGGGTCTGTACAAGTTTTACATCCATAAAAAAATAATATACAAATTAAGTTTGTGCTCAGTCGTTATCAGTATCTTAAACAATACGATCGGCCTCAAAGCATCAAAAACACGGTGGCCGATTTTACCGATTGTGATGATTGTGCATTTTTCTTTTGGGACCGAGTGTTTTTTATGCCTCGGGCGCGCCTAATAAATCTTTCCTAAAAACAAAATTACTTTAGATTAAAGTGTGCTACTATTTAAAAAATAAATCTGATATGTCCCTGATTTGCCGAACAAATTTTACCGGTTAAAGATTATCGTAAACGCAAATGACCCTTTCACAGGACACGTAAGTACAAACAATGTCGAAAGTATTTTCTATAATAATGTAAAAAACCTACGACTACTATGTCAGAACTACAAGAATATATCGAACAATCTCTCTCTTTAACGCCCTCGCATTCCTCGACGTTTCGACAGCGTTCGTCTGGCAACTTTATGGTGGTCCCGATACGAAATATTTTTCATGTATAAAGTAGATACGAAATGACAGCTGTCAAATTTGACGAAATAGAAACTACCGAAACGCCGCGCCGTCACTCTCCCACACGAATCAATCACATTTATAAGATAATTACGTATTTTTCATCACTTTTAGTATTTACCAATGACATTCTTTTTAAAGGTGGCCAGTTGCTATAACGAGTTTGCTTGATCGACGCGTTTAGTACGAACTCTCCGATACGTATTGTAAGGGACAACGGTTGAAGGATCGATTATATAGGATTGCCCAGAAATAAGTACCACAGATTCATTGCACTCGTCGAGAATTAGAATTTCCTGTACCCTGCCAAATTCTTACAAGATCCAAATGAACTGACAGTTTGAAAGCGCACGGAAGAAGAAGAGGTGAACAGATGATACAAGATAACAGGGAGAGCAACGTACAGGAATTAATACGTTCAAGGAACAAGGAAGGGGAAAAGATTAAGGAGAAAGAGGAAGGGTGAGAGAGTGAGAATGGTCTTATATATAGTTCCCAGTGTTTAAAGCTTCCAACGTCAGTCACATAATGGAGGTATTATCACATCGAAAGAATGATGAGAAGGAAGAGACGAGAAGAGGACGATTGAGAATGAAAGGAGTAAGAAAATGGAGAGGACAGAGAGCAAACTAGGAGAAATTCTAATACCACAGGACCGGCAAGACCAATGCATGGTACTAATTTCCGGATCACGCTGTAGATTACCGACAATTGGTCGCACAACAATTTTATCAGCTCGGCCGCCAGCCAAATCGGCCGAGTCGAGCCTAACCCGATCAGAGAACGGGCGCGCATGCACACGTTTTAATATTACGTACCACCTACATAAAAACTTGTGACATTTATACAGCATTCCTTAGATCAATAAATAAATACACAACGAAAAAAAAAACTGGGTCTGTACAAAAGAAGAGAAAACGAGCGTCCTTGGAACAAAATGGCACTTCTTACATATCGACTAGAGAGCTGTGACCGTGTGGCGGGAGCCCCAAACGCTTACTCAAATGGGCCCGTAATTGCTCAGAGACGGTCCCGAACCTTGCGCGTGATGAGACACGACCACCGCCGTGGCGGGGCCGGCGGCGGGTTCCGTATTCGCTTGTCATACGTGGCTCAAAGGCGGCTGCTTGAGGACGTGGTGGTGCAAGTGGTGTTGGCTCGCGGACGCCACGCTCCCGGTAGGTCCCAAGAGCGAGGCGCTACCCGGACCTGTCATCAGATACTGAGGCGGGGGCGGTTTCCCTGAACGGTTCTTGATAAGGGCCGCATTGGCGCCGGACAAGTCCGGTCTGCCGAATAACCTCCTCCACAGACGTTTCCACGAGTCTAACGTTTTGCCGGACCATATCCACACGCCGGACGTGATGCCTACCGCGAGAGCCATGAAATATTTGAGCATTAAAACGGAGTAGAGCGGCTTCATTTTTAACGGCACGCCCTGCGCGTTCGGGCACGAGCACGCCAACGATTTGAGCCACTCGTGGTGGAACGCGTTCTCATACAAATGGCACCCGATCACGATGGTCGCCGGTACCGTGTACAACACGCTGAATATTCCGATCCGGATCATGAGCTTCTCTAGCTTGTCGGCTTTCGATCCGGCACCGGCACCCCCTTGCTTCTTAATGACGTTCCGGATGCGGAACAGCGACACGAACCCGGCCATCAAGAAACTGGTGCCGAGAATTAAGTAGATGACGAGCGGTCCGAGCACGAACGTTCTCAAGTTTTCCATGTTCATATTTCCGACGTAGCAGATGCCCGAGATCGGGTCCCCGTCCACGGCTCCGCTCAGCAGGACGGCGAGCGTCTGGAGGGTCGGTATTATCCAGGCGGCGACGTGGAAACACTGCGCGTAGCTGGCGATCGCCTCGTTGCCCCACTTAAGCCCAGCGGCAAGGAACCACGTTAACGATAGTATCACCCACCATATCGACGACGCCATTCCGAAGAAGTAAACCAGCAAGAAAACGAGCGTGCAGAGGCTCGGACCCGTCGACGAGTACCGAATGATTTTCGCGTCGCACGCGATAACGTCGTGGCCGAAACCGACCCTCAACAGGTATCCGACCGATACCAGGAAGTAGCAGGCCGACAGGAAAACGATCGGCCTCTCAGGGTACTTAAACCGTTCGGTTTCGATGAAAAATGTGGTAAGTGTCATTAGCGTAGAAGCGGCGCAGAGTCCGGACCATAGAGCGATCCATACCGACGCGAATTCCGTCTCCTTCGGGCTGAAGAACGGATCCCGGCACGGAAACGCACAGTTTGGGACGTTTCCGACGTTTCGGTTGGTGGATGGCGGTGAGATTTCGTTCCCCACCGAGACTAGGGGCTCTTGGCACTGGCACTTGCACTCGCTGCTTGCGCCGGTCCTTCTTATGTCTCCGTGGGGGCTTGCGCAGTTTTTTGAGCCGTTCTTGCACGGTTTCGGCGGTTTGCGGTGCGTCGGTTTGGGCGTGGTGGCGTTTTGAGCGGACGGCTGGTCCATGCACAGGGTTTCGCCCCCCTGAACGGGAAACTGATCGCACTCCATGCGTTCGGGCCACGTGAAACCGTATTGGGTCATTATAGGCTCGCAGCCTTCCCTCGCTCGTCTGCAGAGGTCGCGGCAAGGAGGCAACGGCTTGGTGTACTCCGGCAAGCATATGGGCGCGTACATCGAGCACAAAAAGAACTTTAGGTCCGGCGAGCATTTGATCTCGACGAGAGGCCAGAACTGGTGCACTTCGAGGCCGGCCTCGTCCTGCGACTCGTGATTGAGCTCGTTAGGCATGCGCGTCATGTTGTAGCCAATCCCGAGGCACATAGGTATGGTTATCTCCTCGCATTTTCCCTCTTCGTCCAGCGAGGACGATAACACGGACGAGCTCGCGGCTGCGGCGTACGCAAACAGGACGGCGGCGACCACGAGAAAAGTTCTACTCGCGGACAACATGGTGGCGACGCTGCTCGCCCGGTTCACATTCACTCGTACGCTAAACGGCAAAATGGCGTCGTCGTAGTCGGCAACTTCGATTTCTCACGAGCGTTACTCGTCTCGTTCGTGTCGTGGTTTCGTCATCCTTCCCTGCAATAAATGGAACGGCGATTAGTTTGATTATTAGAAGGAAAGGACGTAGGTCGTTAGGTGTCAATCTTCGTTGTTACGCGAAGGGCGAGGAATTATACGACGCACGTCGGTGCGATTAAAATTGCTCTCCGTGACTGGAGAGGTGCCCTCACGGCGATATTTGCCCAATTTCCTGTCGACGCTCACACACGACGCCGTAGCAGGATGCGGGAATTTGATTTTGAAGCTCCAATAACGAGCGCGTTCAATTTTATGGGTGCGGGTATGAAACTGTTTAATTTGTAGCAAAAAAGCAACAAAGCTGAGCTTCTTACATTTGCCGCTAGTTGTTTAAATTGCAGGCCAAATATTACTGGAGTTGTTACCAGTTCGTTAAACGGCGATATTTTTTAGAAAAACGATAGGAATATAGGGGTATTTTGTAAAACGCTGATTTATTCGAAACTCATTTTAATAACCGCGCAGAGGATGATAATGGCGGTGGTTGAGTTGGGGATTCAGGAGATGAAAACTGTTTGTCAATAAACAACAACAATCTACGAGGAACTCGCAGCTGCAGGTGGATTGCAAAATATAATTAATTATCATTTGTCGTACACAGGTGTACAAGATAAGGATTCGTGAAAAGCAAAGCATTTTTGTTTGAGTGCGTTTGACCTAGCAGAACAAAATATATAGTACCTACATAAAGGAATATTCAGAAAATTAGAACGCCTAATAGTCTAAGAGCTAGCAACAACGTTTTCGAAAGAGAAATTCAAATAGGCCAGTTTTTAGATATGCTATCTCTCTCACTCGCCCGGACATCATATGGACTATTTGGTTGGCGGTAATGGTTGCGTAGTGCTCATCGTACCTGTACAGGTAAAACATCAATTTTTAAAATCACTTTAAAAAGGTTTCTTTTTTTTATTGTTTTAATTTAACTTTTTAACACATGAATCCATTATTGCCAGATAGTTTTATTGTTGTTTAAGCTGTGCGAAACGCTAATTTTGAATAAAATTTTTTTTTCAAAACATCAAACAATTCAATTGTTGAACCTTCAGCCAGACCGGTCTAAAAGTGAAAAGTGATTGGACATGTTGGAAAAGTACTGACTGTCACCCGCTAGCTACGAATGCGAGATAGACGACAGCAGCTGTTTGTCAGTTTAGTCATATTGGTGTATTCGTTGCTGTTATTTTTAATGTCTTTAACGAAATTCTGCTGCAATGACTGATGACAAATTAAAATGTGTTTTTTGTAAAGACAAAAATGGAAAAATAATATAACTTTTGAAGACGATAGAATAAAAAGGTGTAAAAAAGTTTTACAAATACATGTAAATTTTAAGCTTAAATATGATAGTGTACAGTTACCAGATCAAGTTAAGGACACTGATGGATATCACAGAAATTGTTACAGCAGTTTTACAGCTTTAATGGAAAAATATTGTAAGCACATCTATTTCAACTCCGATATTAAATAATGCAGTAGATGTTAGCAAAACTCTGCCAGATAATACGTCTCCAAATTAACATACAGAAGCTAATATCCAAGAAATTGACACACAAGATTATTGAGCTTGAAAGTGTGGAAAATATAGAAACAAATTCAAATGTCAAACGAGTTTGCTTTTTTTGTAGAAAAGATCGCAAGCAAGCAAAAGTTAAACAACAAGCTTTACACTTCTCCAAACATCGAAAAATTTATAAAAAAATAGCAGAGTGGATGACAAAATTAAGTAACCAAGAATTGCTAGAAAAAATAGAAAATGTACAGTCAAAAAGTGAAATCATTTTCTATCAAAAGTCATTTGAATTGGGCTATAATGGTATCATTAAACCATCAAATCATGGTATGAAGTATTACAAGCAGTGGAAGAATTGTGAACATTCTTAATCGTTTTGGACATTACTGCAACTATACTACACCGGAGGAGCTGAAAACTGAAGCTATTTACTGATCTGTTCACCGCTCTGAAATCAGCCTCTTCCCATGTAAAGCTGAATTGTATCAGCATTGACTACGAGTTCGTTACGTCACAAAGATTTGCAGAAATACTAATTTAAAACACCCAACATCTCTATAACCTCAAGTTTCCGGCTGGACCATAAACGACAATAAATTAGATGCCGACATTATTATTAAAGATAAAAATTCAAAATAAAATACTAATAAATTTCTTTACTGAGAGATTATAAATTTTTTCGTTGTATTACAGATAATAACTTATTACTAAACGATAACCTTTCAAAGGTGGATGACAAGAAAATGATAACAGTGATGAAGATGATGATGATTATCAAGATGCCTCCGTTTTTTGTGATAGAATTATGTAACCGTCTAAATTTTTTTATATTTTCGTACTTGAGGTTCATCATTGTCTTAATTTTGTACAACAATAAATTATTATTTTGATACCGTAATAATCCACAAATTAATTCAATGGTTTTTAGTTCTTTCTCTGAAATTTATTTGACAACTATTTCTACACCAAGCAAAATGATACCACATCACTTTTCACTTTTAGATCGATCTGGTTGAAGGTTCAACATATGAAGTATTGTTTGGCAAATTGATTTTGCGTTTTTAGATGTACAAATAACATCATAAAAAAATTTCAACCATACTAGAATATTTTGGAATTTTTTTTAATTCAAAATTAGCACAGCTTAAACAACAATAAAAATATCTGGAAATAATGGATTTACGTGACCAAAAGTTCAATTCAAATAATAATAAAAAAGCACCACTACCGAAAGCCAAATAGCCCATATGACGTCCGGGAAAGTGAGAGAGATAGCATATTTAAGAACAGGCCTACCTGAAATTCTTGTTTTTCCGACGTTGCTAGCTCTCGTGCTATAAATAGCAGAAGAATTACAAATATTGTGTTAGCAAGATCCCTATGCAGAAGATGATGAATAGCCTTAGATCATTAAATAGTTCAACAGAACTAACAAACCCGGTGCAAAATACTAGAAACAATGTGTGTTAAGTGTCAAAATCTCGTTTCGCAAGTTCACGAGAGCCGAAGTGAATGCTTACTTCAACCATATATAATATATTTCAATTAAATTTTTCAAAAAACAATAGAGCCTAATTAGTTAATCGAACACGATGAATAAAAACGGTGGCGTCTAAGTGGTTCAACCCTCGTCATCTCCGAAATTATCTGTCAATCCAAAACGCATTCTTCCAGTCTGGGAACGCTTAAACTTCAAAAACCGATAGCGAAATTTACGAATTAGAAAGGGGAAGAATTTAAAAGGGGGTGTCGTCCTTCCCGGACGAGCTTCCAGGATTATCGCACGCCTGCAATCGAAGTTAACAACCCTCAAGGAATAGCCGAAGGGTAAAGACATATGCCGCGCGCGCTAATTGCTAAAACGTAAGGGCACGTGACGTTCGACGTATAGATATACAGGGTGATCCCAAAAAAAACTCTCGACCTTAGGTTTTCATGGTTACTTCGTTATTTTAAATAGAACACCCTATATTTATATTTGCCATACAACAAAGTGTAAAAGTGATAGAAGGATTTTTTTTTTAAGAAGTTGTAGAGTCTTACGGATGCAAAAAATAAAACAGACAACAATAACAACGATATAAAACGAAGGATGAATGTAGCAATAACGGTATGCGACAAATGATACGCAAACTTAAGTGGCACGGAGATGCAAAAAAGTTCAAAAAGATCAGAAACAAAAACAATATGGGATAGATGGGGAGGTCCGAAAAAAAATGCTTCTTTAAAAAATGGTGACAATAAATAAAAGTGTAAAATCAAAATCTTAACTGATTTGGAAACCTGCTACGAGTTTTTAGACATTAAGTCTTCGAAGCTTTTAAGTGGTTCCACAAGCCAAAATGTAGCGGATGCTGGACAAACATCTGGACCATACTGTCCTTGCAACGTGTCCGCTCAACCACAAATAATTTAATTACATTGTAGTTCATAATTTTCAACATTTAATATTTTTTATCGTTTCAATGACACCCTGTATATACCGGAGTAACAGTATATATTTTTCCCACTATTCGCAACGCGCCCCCGATTTTTGTCCGGACGCATCAAAACGCAGTTAAATTTAATATCCCCCCACGTCCGTGGAGATGTTTGTTCGTCGCGATGCACTTTGAAGGGTGAACATATGAGACTTGACATGTGTGCGTGCGTGGGGGCGGGAGGCTTTTTTCGTGACACTTTTTCGCACAAGCTCTTAAATGACTCATTAAGCAATAATGCGTTTGTAAATAAATTGCTGGGGGTAGTTGAGTGGAAGAAACGGCAGTGATGTTATTAAGTTATGAGGGAGGCCTAAATATTTCTTGCAATTTTTATTGCCAGAAAGTACAACTTAAAAAAATACGCTTTGCATTGTTTCTTAAAGTTATACTTAATAGAGCAAAATTAATACTGATTTGATATTTACTTTCCGTTCCGAAAATTTGTCTGAATTTGAATGAACTTTGACGTCAATATACTCTACAACATAGACCAAACATAAACCAAAACAACCCTGAAAAATCCGTGAAGCTCTAATGTTTACCAATCAATAACATTTTAATAGTAAGGTCATACTTTCTATGTACTATTTATTAACATCGGAATATTGTTTTACTGACAGAATTAAAACGTTCACGATATTCCGTGGAAAATTCGATTTTATTGTTATTTTTATATTTTTATCAATATTTAATCGGGTTGACGCTCACCATTCTCAAGAGTACGAGGCATTCTATTAAATTAAACCATTATTAATTTTTCCCCGTGAACTCACACCCATAAATATCGGAATTATCTTTATTTCTTTTGGACCAACATTATATGCACTTAAGTTCGAGCTCAACGTAAATATGGATGAGTTACGGCAAACGCATCGAGACCATCTGATATTGCTTTCATTATATGCAAATCGTCGCCGCGCTTGGGTCTAAGCAAAATCATAGTTCAAAAGTTCAAGCGATAAATTTAAATAATATTCCGTTCGTTCGTGGTTGCATCCAAA